AGATTGTAAGAGTCTGATAAAAAGTACATTGACATTATGCAACTGAAACTATAACCTCAACATACCTGAAGATAATAGGAAAATATAAAAAGAGAAAATAGCATGATTTGAATAAATACAAAATAAAAGGACTTATTTGATTTGAAGTTTCATTAGAATAATATACAAAATCGAATATATTGTGAAACTGTACATCACAATTACCATTAACGTTGAATCTGTGGGGATAATGAGTAACATCTAGCATATTTTGGAATGGTTAAAGTTTCTTGTAATTTCTATTCCAATCACATTACTACAGAGTACAAGAGGTATGAGTATGTTCCCAAGTAAAATTATACAAGTTTTTACCGATTGGATCCTGGTGCTACTCAAACACTAAAATTCAGCCATTAGCCCATTTGAACACTTTTGTGGGGTATCGATACTCCTTGGCTCCCCTTTATATTAAATTTCTAAATTTATGAATTTGAAATTTCTGCCCCATCAATATCTAAGATCATTAGAGATGTATTCAAGATATAGCAAAGGGGTGAGGCTTGAGGGCAAAGTCCCAAAGATTTTTTGTTCATAATGTGATATCTGTGGATTCCCAGAATCATTAATGGTAAAAAAAAAAAAAAAAAGGGCCCAGACATCAAAGGTTATACCACACTATTATAAAGTATTGTGGCAAAAATGGGTGAGAGTGAGTTAATGATCAGAACAAATTATGTTAGACGTCAAAGATTGTAGAGTGCTGTAAGTTGGTATGGTAGTAAAAAGGGTAGAGAGGGGAGAGCAAACAGGGTACAAAGGCTATTCAGAATGGATTTTATTTATTGAAAATTTTCTGCTGTGTCAACATCTACAGTCATTAGTGTCATATAAAAAATCAGTGATAGGGTGAGGCTTGGGGACAAATCCTGCATGAAAAGAGCGGTCATACAGAATTCATAATATGATCAAATATTGTAGCATAAAGGGTAACAACGAGTTAAAGATCATGACAAAACATGTTAGATGCCAAAGGTTGTAGAGCGCTATAGGTTAGTAGGTGGACAGAAGAAGGGAATGAATGGTTACTGGTTAAAACCAAAATAAATGTGCTAGACATCTAAGGTCATATAGCACTATATGAAGGCACAGTAAAGGGTAGTGAATGGTGGTAGTTGCCATGCGTCAACTATCTAGAGTAATATTGAAAGGTTAAAGTTGGGTAAAGGAGTTGATGAGTTAATGGGTTATGGTGGGTTTAGGTAAGGGAATTAGATCAAATGAAGGATATGTGTGCGTCTGAGAAAGAAGAATTGGAATTGGAATAGGAGGATGTGTAAAAAAGTCTCTTGGAGGCATATAATGGATGGATTATAAGAACAAAAGATGTAACGAAGATCAGGTATGTGAAAACAGGAACTGTGAATATTCCAAAGAAGGAGAGCTATGAATGATAACAGTTACAGTGAGTGTTGGAGAATTGGAAAGGGAAGGATTTAGAGTAGTAAAAGAATTTGACTGGGAAGGGTAGGAAGTAGAAGTGGAGGTGGGGAAGTAGGTATAGGGGAGAGTGTAGAGAACAACATTACTGGAGTAGGAGTATAAGAGAAAACTCATTGATGTGCTTCCTGTCTGGCTTCACACAGAGTGAGACCAAGTTTGTATCTGAGAGTTGCCACCTCAGACTCAAACTTGTAGGTGGGGCAGCCACTATAAAATACTTTATGGGGGCTGCATTTAGCACATGTGTGAGAGTGTAGAACAGTTTGATTGGTTATGATCAGGTTGGGCACATAGGGGGTATCGGTGTGTGGAACAGTGTTTGCCAGGATGTCCTAAATGCCAACAGTTTTAACACTGACAGGGAAGAGGTTGATACGGTCGGACAGGGATTCTCCACCAATTTAGATATTAAAGGTAAGGTCATGTCTACGGAAAATAATTTTGGCAATGTTGGTGGGGGTCTTGTACTGATATCACATCATGGTCCATGAGGCAGGCGACTAAGTCTTCTTTACAATCTGACCAATCTTCGGTATCAACAAGGCAGTTTGCTGGGGAGATAAACACAGTTCCGGTACAAGTATTAAGGGTTGGATGAGGTTCTGCAGGAATGGGTTGCTAGAGAGATCAGTTAGTTTTGATATTACTATAGCTTGGGTTTCAGATGTAACTAACGAGACAGGAATGATCAGGTTGGGAATGGAAAGGGACTTTGCCTACTTGTTTTTGGAGACAGTAAGGACCTGTAGGGGGGATCACAAAAAATCAGTTCCATTTGGCTGGGCTAAAGAGAGTATTTAAAATATTTGTAGAGCTGGGGATGGTAGAAGGACGGGGATGTGTGGAAGAGGGAGTATTGTTGTGGGGGTAGAATTATGGAGAGGTGGAGAATAATGTACTAGTAGGCATTGAGGGGTGCAGAATAATGTTAGTAATATACAGAGTACTTCAGTAGGCATTGAGGGGTGGGTAGTAGTTGCAGTGTTCATAGTAGTGGTGAAAGGAGAGCCTGGGGTTGGGAAACCAGGAGAGTTGGAATTGGTAGGGCTATTTGATGAAGGGACAAGCCTCATTGCCCCTAATAAGGGTATTACATCTTCATTACTGGCCATGGGAAGCCTTAACTATGTTGGGGAAAGAAACAGTACACCTCTCAGGGTCCCTTTGGAGGGTAAGGGCTAGACAACAAAAACGGGAATAGCATGCCCATGGCTCCCTCAGGCTGTTCAGAACTGGCACAATGTCAGCCTATCATCCATTCAGCACGGCTCTTACAGCTTAGGAAGTGGATAGTAGAAGGGGTTGGAGAAGGGACAGAAATGAAAGAGCAGGAGGGAGAAAAGACCATGCAAAATTAGTTGAGTAGATCTGATGCCCAAGGTAGGGGAGATCCCTAGCATTGGGTCCCAGTCCCTGTCTCCTAAGCCCTCCACGACAACGACGGGCAAGGGATTGGGGGGGGGGGGGGGGGGGGGAAGAAGGGATGAAGAAAGGAAAAGGAAATAATTAATTAATTAATGTTTGAAAATAAATGTGCTAGACATCAAAAGTCATGTAGCACTATGGTAAAGTATTGCTTCGGAAAGGGCAAAGGAGAATTAAAGATTACGATAAAATGTGTTATATATCAAAGGTTTAAGAATGTTATAGGATAGCAGGGTAGTGAAAAGAAGGAATAGGGAAGCAAGTGAATTAGAGCAGAAATTAGTATAAAGGGTAGGGTAGGGTGATTGAGTGAATTACAGCGTATCTGTCACTAGGGAAGGTATAGGAAAAATGTTCAAGGAAGAATAGAGACAATTGTTGAAGAGTAAGAGAAAAATCCCAGGAGAGGGGAGGGTGTTAGATATAAAAGATTAGAGGGTGTTGTTGGAGAGTATGGTAATGAAAAGGGAAAGGAGGGAAGTAAATGAAGAATAGTGATTAAAGAGGAGAATGTTGGGGATGAGGAAGAGGTATTTTCTAGGGGTTGAGTAATAACCTGGGTCGATGTTTCAGAATGATTAGAGTTGTTCATAAGCGTCAAAGAGGGGGTATTAGCATCAGTGGTCGGAGCCGTGGTAAAAGGAGGGGCAGGGATCAGAAAACCATCAAAATCAAATTCAGATAAGCTATTTGATGATGGGGCAAGCCTTAATGCCGCTGTTAAGGGTAAAGAATCTTTATTACTGGCCATGATGAGCCTGAATGAGCTAGGGGAAAAGAAACCGTCTACCTCAGGGTCCCCATAAGGGGTAAGGGCTTTAACCAAGGGAATACCATGCCCATGGCTTCTGGAGGCCGTTCGTGACTGGCAAAAGCCAGCCTTTCATCCTTTCATCACGGCTCTCACACCTTAGGAATGGGATAGAAGAGAATAAAGAAGATACAGAAGAGGAAAGAGAAGAAAGGACCAAGCAAAATTAGTTGAGGCAAGGGCTGAGGCTCAAGGTAGGGGTAGTCCTTTACATTAGGTCTCAGTCCCCGTCTCCTAACGAGCTAGGTTTTGGGAGGGGAATGGAGAAGAAAAGAGTTAATGACAGAGTTCAAAGGTAGGGGTGATCCTTTACATTAGACCTCAATCTGTCTTCTAACTCCTATCTCATGATGACGAGCAAGCATTTATACTATATAAAACTGTAATCATATCCATTGAACAGACTCCACATTATCCCCCCTATGCAGTCCATAATTGTGTGCAATAGCAAGTAACATTGTGCTACATATTTATGAGTTCAATTATCAGTAGCATACCTTGTGTTGCTGGTCATGACTGCCAGGAATAGGATCCTGGAAATAGTATCCTTCCTGGATCAGGTGCTCAATCAGCCATAGTTCATGGTTGGAACGTTCCACTCTCATTTACTAGTGGAAAGAAAAGTCCCTTCCTAAATGCCCACAAACTCTTTTCACAAAGAGCTTTGTGTATCCATGATGAGTAATTTGTTACCCCAGCCCTCTGCTGAATTTTTCATTACTGCATATTCCAATCACCTGGCTCTCTGCTAATTTTTTTCATGTGAAGATCACATCACCCAGATCCATTGGGTTAAGGAACTTGAACTTTTATGAAATAAATATCAAACAGTAGTTTGATGGTGGGAGGGAGATATAGGTAGACAAAACAAAAGTGGTTGAAAAAAGGTTAGTGCCCATGAATAGATAATGTCAACTTTATATTATCATAATATACACCCCTCACAAGAATTTTAACCATTTAATACCATTATTATTTTTAACATCAGGATTAACAAACTATTAGGTTAAGAAAAACATTTAATGTGAACAGCACATTGTGTATGTGATATAGTAGTTTACATTCTGAGGTCCACTATCATTCTGCAAATCATTCTAAACTCACAGATTAAAAAGCTGATACAATATTCTACTTGAGGCAAAGATTTCTGAAATGAAAGAAGAAGAAAAAAAAAAAAAAAAAAAAAAAAAAAAAAAAATAGTACAAGTTCCCTTTAGCCCTTGGCCACCCAGTAAAAATATTTGGATGAACTGACTGTTAAAAAATAGGTATAATAAATATTACATCTATTTTGTATCTTCATTCTTACTATACAAGCAAAATATTCATTAACCACTACAGATCATTTCAATGTATGAGAACAATGTATTTCCTTGCACTTGAAGACACTTATCTGATCCTCTGCCTCCCTGTGAACTTGAGCAAGTCACTGATTCCGAACTTGTTGCTTGCACACTGAAGCCTAATGGTGTGTCATTGCAATTATTACAGAATGTTTAAAAATATCTTAAAAGTTCTCTCTGTCATCCAGCTTTCCTCACTTTTTTCCAATTTCTATAAACCTTTTGCACCTCCATCATCTTGTTTTACACTTGTATGTGCACTGAAGATATATGTTCATACCTTTTCTCACTTTAGAAAATGTACCTTGTACCTTACTCCATTTCCATACTATGAAAATAATAAATGATCAATGTACTACACACACACAGCTTTGACCTTTTTATATATTCAGGACAATGGAAGGATAACACTAAATTTCTAACCACTTCACAATGTATATTCCAAGTTCATTTCAAGATCACAACTGTACAAGGCAGACTCAAAGTGCCTAATCCTTGACAAGGAGATAAAAGCCTGAACTTCATGAATGTGTCAATGGAATATATGAGAAATATGTACATAAATAAATGGTGTTTACCCCTCTTTATCTACATAAAATGTGCAAAACATCAAAGATGAACATAAAAAAGGGAAAAAGTAACCATCATAGAAAAGTTAAGCAACAATTTTGAAGAGAACTGAAATGAGTAAGAAAATTAAGAAAAAAAAAATCATCACCTTATTCTACACAGCTGGTACAATAATACACTAAGTTTTTTTCCTGTCATGATTTAATTTTAGATATTTGAAGTGATACATTTTCACTGTACAGTAAACAAAATATTATATCCTGGACTTTGCTTTCATAATATACAATTCTAAGTATTCATAAATGTTTCAGTTAAGCATTTTAAAATGCTTGCTCAAACCCTGTGAACACTTGAATCTCAAGCTTCTAAAACTGCTTTTCATTTGAAATGAAGAGTGTCAGAAAACCACTTTTTGCCATTACTTCTACAACTTGGTTTCTGATCTAGATTGTATGTTCTGAACACTTCACTTCCAAAGGCCTTTCCATGGAAAGAAGAAAAATAAAGGGATAAAAATGAAAATAAAATACAGAATATAGCTCATAATAGAGATCTAACTGGTCTGACACTGTAGATGTTGCTGCCTTGGCCCGTGGTCGTCGTCATCATCATCATGCATCATATTGTGACGTCGGCTTCGTTGTGACCTATCAATTTCAGCTAGCTCGCATTCTTCACAATCATCTGGAATCATTACTTCAGGCCTGAAATGCAAGACAAGATTTCATCTTTTTTATTTGTATTTTTTTTTAAATCATAATATATGGCCTAAAACCCCCTCCATCTCCAAATCTTCAATAAAAAAAGTAATATGTTGATGCTTACTATTTTGTGACTATACCAAGAGCCACAGAAATAACTATTCAATTAAGAAATCTTACCTTGCAGGCAATATTTTTTCCAACTTAGCAATACGATCTGATGAAATATGAGGTGGGAAGTCCACCAAGAATTGAATGAGTAAACGTCCTTTTTCGAATGGATTCTTGTATTGAGGCATGCCCTCACCAAGGACACTCTTCACTTCAGCATTCTTTATTACTTCACCTGTAAAGAAGGATCATGATTAAGTCAATGATTAAGGGTCATGATTAATTTACAACAGATAAATAAATAATATGGCACATGTACATGTATTTATGACCTAAAATTCTGAACATCATTCACTCCTGTACTTTTCATTATCAATATTGTTCTAGAAATTACTGTTCTCTTATTAACAGATACAAGTTACACTCAATAAAGCAACTGAACACAAGTTACCTGGGATTGCACTAATAACAATGGTTCTGTCATCTAAGGTCTTGATAGGCTTCTGGAATCCACATAATGCTTCTACAAGAGAAATGTGCATCTGCATTGTGAGATCACTGTTCACACGTCTGAAAAAGATAAAATTAGGCAACATTAACTCACTAGCCTGGAATCTGCACTGGCCACAGCCTGCGATGGAATTGGAGCAGAAGCTCCGATTCAGCATCACACCAGCGGGATGCCCAGCAATGTTTATTTTCTGGGTATCTCAAATGTGGGACACCTGTTGTAAATGGGTTAAGCAGCTGGAAATCCATTTTGGGGGCTAAGTAATGGGAACAAGATCTTGGCAGCAAAACTGTTTTGGAAAAGAAAGAATTCTCTACATAGTATTTTATGGGTTCTTCTTGTTCGACTAGAATATCATATTCTATGTCCTCCAGCAACACATTACTGTTTAGAAAAGTGCTACATATCACAAGAAGCTTGCACTAAGATGACAAATTAAATCCGTTTGCCACTGCTTGGTGTGGAAAATGCTTGTTTATGCCATTGGGGATATAAAGTGCCAAAAAATAGGCATAATCAAAAATCGAGCAGCAATAGCATAAGCAATGCTGATGAAACAAACATCATTATTGCAAAAAGAAATCTGATAGTAAAGGAAATTTTTGAGTTCTCTCTCTAAAGCTAGGGTCACACTAGTTTTCTGTCCTGGGATCCCTAGATAGCCATGCCGAAGTCTGGCAAGCTACAGCTTTTGAGTTGTCAGCTGATCTGACTTCGGGGAGGCTGTGTATGGATTCCAGGAGAGAAAACTAGTGTGACCCTAGTTTTATTCTTTCTGGTTGTAAGTCATTTGACCTATCATCAAGACACGACATGCCAAAAGTGCCAAAAAGTACCACTCCACAAGCAAGTAAATAGTAATAGTAATAGCAATAAATATCTGATAAGGAAACCATCATCTACATAATATCATACCTATAAAGCATTTCATAGGTAGACCACTAGAGCATGAATGTAGACTGTCATTTGTGAAAATGGTAGAGTTAAATGATGACAGGATTTTTTTTTTTTTTTTTTTTTAAACAGAAATGCCTCAAACTTGAGTGTTTTATAGTAAGGTGTCTAAAATATCAAGCAAACTAATCAGTAATATCACTGTTAACATTATCCCATTAACAGCGGTATATTTTGGAGCCGAAAATAAAAGATTTCGGGCGACTACATAATCGGTGGGCGGGGCTGCACTGGACTCTGCCCGCCCGCCAGCTGCAACCCACTGCTGCGCCGGAGCGCGAGCCCCGATACAGCGTCACACTGGTGGGACGCCCGGCAATATTTTTTTTTTTTGGTGTCTCATATGTGGGACACCCATCGTTAGTGGGTTAAAATAAAATTATTTTTGTACTGAAAGTCACAGCGGACTCACAGCAAGAAAAGAAAAACAAATTTGGTTAATAAGTGTGAGGGTTAAGCAGAATAATTTACCCTTTTAATATTACAGTTCCTGTGTTGAAGCTAGATCTTTCATCATACTAATTTCTAATTCATACATATTCCATTAAAGAAATGCATTACATTTTTATTCAACTTACTTGAAAGTTGCATGCTCCTTCTCATCCAGAACGATGATGATGTCACCAGGTTCTAAGCCAGGTTCCTGATCACCCTCGCCAGAAAATACAACTTTCTGACCATCTTCCATGCCTTTGTCTACATGAACCTCTAGGATTTTGCGGTCTTTAACAACCTATTGGAGAGGGGATATGTGCATACATATAAATGTTTTGTCAAGCTATCCTCTTCAGCTGATGTTCTCACTTTTCTAAAATTTCACACATGCTTCAGATTAATCTAGTATTGTGAACGTTTGTCTTCAATCCCTTTCTATCTCTTATTTCCCTATTGTTGCAAGAATTATTTTCGATCAACAAAGTTCTCACAGAACTCAGATTAAGAACACCTACTTTCCGGCCTTCACAGGTTTTGCATCTGTCTTTAGGATTAATGCGTTCTCCCTGACCACGGCACTCGCCACACATACTCTGCACTTGTGACACCATGCCGGGGCCTAATTGTTGAATCCGGACCTAAGGGAAAAAAATTGAATGTTTACAGTAATAAAATATAGTTCCTTATCTATTTTCTAAATCATTAGTAACAATAGAAATGGTGAAGATGACAAAACTCTGTACCTGCATTCCTGTTCCGCGGCAAGAAGGGCACTTCTCTGGGGGCTTCTTACCACCCTGCCCCTCACACTTGCTGCAGATAACGTGCTTCTGCAGTGCTAGCTTTCTGACTGCACCATTGTACAACTCCTCCAGTGAAACACTCATTTGATGGATGACATCCTTAACCCTGAAATGGGAAAATATTGTGAGGAGACTGAAGAGAACACTTAAGTGTATGGATGCATGGTCCCTAAAAATAAAATGAATTATAAAATTTAACTGCAGATTTTAAATTCTCGGTACAGATAAAGAAATTATTGCAAAGCTACACTTTCAGCCACAATGATATCAAAATTAAGAAATTAACCCATTACCGCCGGTATATTTTGAAGCCGAAAAATATAGATTTTGGTGGTTACAAAATTGGCGCGCGGGGCTGGCCCAGACTCTGCCCGCGCGCCGGCTGTGGCCCGCTGCCGTGTCGGAGCGCGAGCCCCGATACAGCATCACAATGGTGGGACACCCGGCAATGTTTATTTTTTCGGGCGTCTTATATGTGGGACACCCGTTGTTACTGGGTTAAATATACCAAGTCTAGATATCCACCCCAATACAATTTTTGGGAAAACTAATTGCAAAATCTTATATACTTAAGAGAATTAAACTTTACTAATAGGACAACATGACCATTGCATCTTAAAATAAATTTGCTTGCCATGACAACATGGGAAAATATGACTATGGAACATGATGACGTTAACTTGCAGTTGTGGGCATTTTGGCTGAAGGCCGCAGTACCAGGAAAGACTCGCCTTGAGTGCACATATCTCTTGGAGGGTAATTAGGCATGTAGGAAGGGATATTTGCATTAATTTCATCAGTAAACAAGTTTGGACTGTACTGCCCGTGAGGGAGGATGTTATTTTCATGCTCAGCCGCGCACTAGTCACAGTGGCTAACCTAAAAAGCATAATGCCCATATTTTGCACCATATGATGGCAAGGAAACATCCAGATCCAATGGGTAAATGTTATTAAACTTACTTCTTTTCTCTGCTTCGTCTTGAACCACCCCCAAAGAACATCTCAAAGATATCCATTGGTGATGTGAAGCCACCGCCTCCAGTGCCGCCTTCCTTGAGGGCCTGTTCTCCACCTTGGTCATAAATTGCACGTTTTTCCTCATTGCTCAGTACCTCATAAGCTTGTGAAATCAGTTTGAACTGTTGGCAAAAAAGAGAATTTTATTTATCAATTTTTTTAATTACCACATTTATGATAAAGTTCTCAAGTATCAACCTAAGTCGAGATTTAAGAATACAATAGTAATGAAAGAAATTGTTTAATAACATTTTCAATTGTTGAAGAGAAACAATGGAATTAAACTTAGTGCTAAACATTTATGAAAACTCTGGTGACCCTGTAGAAACTAAAAACATTTAGACAAACTTTTCATTGAAATTGCAAGCTAATGAAATGCCACACACTAGCCAGCAATGAGAAAGATGGAAAAGTAGTAATGAGTATCAGTAATCTGACCTTTTCTCCTTCATTTGGATTCTTATCAGGATGATACTTCAGTGCAAGTTTTCTGTACGCCTTCTTAAGTTCTTCAGTTGTTGCTGTGGGCTTCACCCCTAGAATATCGTAATAACCAGTCTCCTTTACCATCTTGGTCTCTGAAACAAAAATAAAGAATCATGTAATCTCCCTACTGGGGCTCACTTGTTACCAAAAACTGTTGTATGGACTATCTCTTACATGGTCTTGAACCCAATCACCCTGGGCAAAAAAGTTTGGCAAGTGGACATGATTGCAGGATTATTGGTCTGCATTAAGAGTTTCCCTGTTTGCGCCTGGCTTGTTCAGGAGTTTGTGAGCGACATTCTGCACCTAAAAGCTTTTATCTTGCTTTAACTTTTAATTATATAACAATAATTTGAAGGTTTATTTTCACTGTAGGTGCTAATGCCTAAAAGCTTTACCACAGAAATGAAGCTGCTAATATCAGAAAAACATGCTTCCTCCGATGAGCCAACGGTGCAGGAATGGTCGTGATACGATGCCACCTGCTACTCTGTCCCCAACAGCCATGGCATGTATGTTCATGCCACTCGGTGGCAAGGGGTTAACTCATGCAATTCACTGAAGGGAGGGAAGGCGAGAGGAGGGACAGAAGGAGAGGAAGAGGAAATGAGGAAAGGAGAGAGTGAGGGAGAAAGAGAAACAACACAAATACAGCTGCTGTGGACTCATATGTACTGGGATGTGACACAAATATCCGCTACATATTGCTGATCAGAGAAAGTCCAAAGCACCCTCACAGTAAAGTTCTTAATGTCATGTTTTCTATAAGTTACCAAAAGAGGGGAGAGGAGGAGAGAGGAAGAGAGAGAGAGGAGAGAGGAAGAGGAGAGAGGAGGAGAGATGGAAGGAGAGGAGAGAGAGGGGAGAGAGGGAGGAGAGGAGAGATGGAAGGAGGAGGAGAGAGGGGAGAGGAGGAGGAGAGAGGGGAAGGAGGAGGAGAGAGGGAAGAGGGAGAGGAGGAGAGAGAGAGGAGGAGGCGAGAGGAGAGAGGAGAGAGAGGAAGGAGGGAGAGAGGGAGAGGAGGAGGAGGAGAGGGGAGAGGAGGAGAGGAGAGAGGAAGGAGGAGGAGGAGGAGGAGGAGAGAGAGGGAGAGAGGAGAGGGGAGAGGAGAGGAGGAGAGATGGAAGGAGAGGAGAGAGGGGAGGAGGAGGAGGAGAGATGGAAGGAGAGGAGAGAGGGGAGAGGAGGAGAGGAGAGATGGAAGGAGGAGGAAGAGAGGGGGAGAGAGGAGGAGAGAGAGATGGAAGAGGAGGAGAAGAGGGGAGAGAGGAGGAGGAGAGATGGAAGGAGGAGGAGAGAGGGGAGAGGAGGAGGAGGAGAGATGGAAGGAGGAGAGGGAGAGGAGGAGGAGGAGGAGAAGAGGAGAGGAGAGAGGGAGAGGAGGAGGAGAGATGGAAGAGGAGGAGAGAGGGGAGAGAGGAGAGAGAGAAGGAGGAGGAGGAGGGAGAGGAGGGAGAGAGGGAGAAGGAGGAGAGAGGGAGAGGAGGAGAGAGGAGGAGAGAGGGGAGAGGAGGGAGAGGAGAGAGATGGAAGGAGGAGGAGAGAGGGAGAGAGGAAGAGGGAGAAGGAGGAGAGAGGAGAGGAGGAGGAGAGATGGAGAGAGGAGAGGAGGAGGAAGAGAAGAGAGAGAGGGGAAGAGGAGGGAGAGGGAGAGGAGGAGGAGAGATGGAAGGAGGAGAGAGAGAGGAGGAGGAGAGAGGGAGAGGAGGAGAGATGGAAGAAGGAGAGAGAGGAGGAGAGGAGGAGAGAGAGGAGAGAGGAAGAGGAGAGAGGAGAGAGGGGAGAGGAAGGAGAGAGGAGAGAGGGGAGAGAGGGAGAGAGGAGGGGAGAGGAAAGGAGAGAGGAGAGAGGGGAGAGGAAAGGAGAGAGGAGAGAGGAGAGGAAAGAGAGAGGAGAGAGAGGAGAGGAAGGAGAGAGAGATGAGGAGAGAAAGGAGAGAGGAGAGAGGGGAGGAGGAGAGAGGAGAGAGGAGAGAAAGGAGAGAGGAGAGAGGGAGAGAGGAGGAGAGAGAGAGGAGAGGAAAGGAAGAGAGGAGAGAGAGGGAGAGGAGAAGAGAGAGGAGAGAGGAGAGAGAGGAAAGGAGAGAGGAGAGAGGGGAGAGGGAGAAGAGAGAGAGAGGAGGAGAGAGAGAGAGGGGAGAGGAGGAGAGAGGAGAGAGGGGAAGGAGAGAGAGGAGAGAGGGGAGAGGAAAGGAGAGAGGAAGAGGCGGAGAGGAAAGGAGAGAGAGAGAGGAGAGAGGAGAGAGGGAGGAGAGGAAAGGAGAGAGGAGAGAGGGGAGGGGAGGAGAGAGGAGAGAGGGAGAGGAAAGGAGAGAGGGAGAGGGAAAGAGAGGAAGAGGATGAGGGGAGAGGGAGGAGAGAGGAGAGAGGGAGAGGAAAGGAGAGAGGAGAGAGGGAGAGAGAAAGGAAGAGGAGAGAGGAGAGAGGGAGAGGAAAGGAGAGAGGAGAGAGGAGAGGAAAGGAGAGAGGAGAGAGGAGAGAAAGGAGAGAGAGAGAGAGAGGAGAGAGGAGAGGAGAGAAAGGAGGAGAGGAGAGAGGAGAGAGGAGAGAGAGGAGAGAGGAGAGAGAGGAGAGAGAGAGAGGGGAGAAAAAGAGGAAGAGGAGAGAGGAGAGAAAAAGGAGAGAGGAGAGAGGAAGAGGAGAAGGAGAGAGGGGAGAGAGGAGAGAGGAGAGAGGAGAGAGAGAGGAGAGAGGAGAGAGAGGAGAGAGGGAGGAAAGGAGGGAGAGAGGGGAGAGGAAAGGAGAGAGGAGAGAGGGAGAGGAAAGGAGAAGAGGAGAGAGGAGAGAGGAGGAGAGGAAGAGAGGGGAGAGGAAAGAAGAGGAGAGAGGGAGAGGAGAGAGGAGAGAGGGGAGAGGAAAAGAGAGAGGAGAGAGGGGAGAGGAAAGGAGAGAGAGAGAGGAGAGAGGAGAGAGAGGGAGAGGGGAGAGAGGAGAGGGAGGAGAGAGAGAGAGAGAGGGAGAGGAAAGAGAGAGGAGAGAGGGAGAGGAAGAGAGAGAGGAGAGAGGGAGAGGGAAGGAGAGAGGAGAGAGGGAGAGAGGAAAGAGAGAGGGGAGAGGAAAGAGAGAGGGAGAGGAGGAGAGAGGAGAGGAAAGGAGAGAGGAGAGGGAGAGGAAGGAGAGAGGAGAGAGGGAGAGAAAGGAGAGAGGAGAGAGGGAGAGGAAAGGAGAGGGAGAGAAAGGAGAGGAGGAAGAGGAAAGGAGAGAAAGGAGAGAGGGGAGAGGAAAGGAGAGGAAAGAGAGAGAGGGAGAGAAAGGAGAGAGGGGAGAAAAGGAGAGAGGGGAGAGGAAAGGAGAGAGAAAGGAGAGAGGGGAGAAGGAAGAGAGGAGAGAGGAGAGAGGGAGAGGAAAGAGAAAGGAGAGAGGGAGAGAGGAGAGGGAGAGGAAAGGAGAGAGGGAGAGGAAAGGAGAGAGGGAGAAAGGAAGAGGAGAGAGGGAGAGAGAGAGAGGAGAGAGGGGAAGAGGGAGAGAGGAGAGAGGGAGAGGAAAAGAGAGAGGAGAGAGGGAAGAGGAGAGAGAGAGAGGGAGAGGAGAGAGAGAGGGGAGAGGAAAGGAGAGAGGGGAGAGGAAAGGAGAGAGGAGAGAGGAGAGAGAGAGGAGAGAGGAGAGAGGGAGAGAGGGAGAGGGAGAGGGGAGAGGGGAGAGGAAAGGAGAGAGTGTGGGAGAAAGAGAAACAACACAAGTACAGCTGCTGCGGCTTGATATGTACTGGGAAATGACACAAATATCTGCTGCATATTGCTCCTTAGAGACAAAGTCCAAAGCACCCTCAGAGTAAAGCTTTAAATGTCACATTTTCTATAAGTTAGCACAAAGTGCTAGTAAAGAGGGGGGGGGTGTACAGGGTACAGAACATAGGAAAGGTTTGGTTGGGATTTTTGGGTTTGTATGATACCCTGGTTGTGGGACTGTCTCTTGAGGATGCATCAATCGGTTCCAATTTCCACAAATATTTTCATTTACATCATTTGTAATAGAAAACAAGAGATTCATGCATATTACAATGGCAAAACTTGAAACAAGGAACAAGGTAGAATGACTGAAATTTAAAAATTACCAAGACCAATTCAATAATTATTGGAATAATATGTCTGCCTAACAGATTGTGACAATACTAGTAGCATTGGATTTCTTTTCCATCTATAATGCAAATATGTAAGTTTTGTTGCAGGGAAACCCAACCCTAACTCCCCTCTTAGCGACAAGCTTGGTCCCAATAGCACGGGAAGGCATGAAATATTACCAGGGAAATTGCGGGGTAAAATATGAATAATATTTACAGAATCAGTCACTATATTGTCTGCGACCCCTGGATTGCTGCCCACCCACCCCCTCCCAGGAATACAAAGAATTCTC